CCGCGCCCCCCCCCGTGGGGGGGCGGGCGCCCGCCCCCCGCCCCCCCCGCCACAAACGTCCCAGAGACCGAGGACAACAAACTTCGGGGCGGAGCCTATGCGCAAGCGCGGGGGGCGGGGCCGCGGCAGTTCTCCTGCTCGGTGCACGAGGGCGCTGTGTGCTCATCTGCGTCTCTCCTAGTCTGGCTGGTTTGCACTTTGAACCCTGGTACAGAGGTTGCAAAAACTTCACTGGTCCTGGTTAACGTAAGAAATTGATCCGGTAAACTAGCATCTGTTATCAACCACCGGTCCAGGCCCTTTACACTTTTAAACTTACCCAATAATGATATAAGCGTGCCAAATTTGTAGATTAGAGAGTGCTGTGTTTCCCAGATTGCATGGAAGTATTAGAGCTCAGGTTGAAGTTCAAGCTGCCCTAGCTGTTGAGGGCTTTGTCTCTTCTTCCTCACCCCCAAGTGCACTCATGTTCCTGTACAGGTCGCAGGTTCCATGGCTTCTTAGGACTAGGAGGGAGATCTGGCCCAAAGGTCACAATTTATGCCTACTGAGTGCTGGAATTAAAGGCATGTGCCACCACACTCAGCTTTCCAGATTTAAAAAGAACAAACAAACAAACAAAATCCCCCGAGGCTGGAGAGATGGCTTATCCATTAAGATCCATCTGCCTCTGCCTCCCAAGTCTAACTCTGGTTCTTATGTTTGCAAAGCAAACTTTACGTGTGTGTGTGTGTGTGTGTGTGTGTGTGTGAAGTTTACCTATAGAAATCAGGCAATTGCAAAGGTATCTGTATTTGAATGGTAGATACAAAGTGTGTGTATTTAAGATGTATGCTATTGGCTGGGCAGTGGTGGCACACACCTGTAATCCCAGTACTTGGGAGGCAGAGCCAGCCTGGTCTACAGAGCAAGTTCCAGGACAGCCAGGGCTGTTACACAGAGCAGCCCTGTCTTGGAAAAAAAAAAAAAAGAATAAGAGGACAAATGTTGTTATTCAGTTTACATAATGTTCAAAGGCAGTGAGACTGATCTATAGTGTTAGGGGTCAGGCCACTGAGGCTCCTTGGGTGGGCAGTTACTAGAGGGACATGAAGAGTCTTTTGGATGCTGGTGACCTCTTTCATGACCTGTGCCTATGAGATGAAAGCTCACTGTACACTCAGATATGTGTAGTGCAA